CGCCGAGAGAGGTAGAGTTCTCGATCAATCTCATTCCGGGTACGGAACCCATATCTGCTACACCGTATCGTATAGCACCTGCCGAGATGAAGGAGTTGAAGGCTCAGTTGCAAGAGCTACTGGAAAAGGGATTCATCCGACCTAGCGTTTCCCCATGGGGAGCACCGGTGTTATTTGTTCGAAAGAAAGATGGATCCATGAGACTTTGCATCGACTACAGACAGTTGAACAAAGCCACAGTGAAGAATCGTTATCCATTGCCTCGCATCGACGACCTGTTTGACCAGCTCAGAGGAGCTACAGTATTCTCAAAGATTGATCTGCGTTCTGGATACCATCAGATTTCCGTTAAGAGAGAAGACATTCCGAAGACTGCTTTTAGAACACGCTATGGGCATTATGAGTTCTCAGTCATGCCTTTCGGATTGACTAATGCCCCGGCAGTGTTCATGGAGCTTATGAACAGTGTGTTCCGACCATACTTAGACCAGTTCGTAGTAGTGTTCATCGATGACATCTTGGTTTATTCACGGACTCAGGAGGAGCATGCTAGACATTTGCAATTGGTTTGAGTGTGTTGAGAGAGCACAAGCTGTATGCAAAATTGTCTAAATGTGAATTCTGGTTGAGTGAGGTGACATTCTTAGGACATGTTATCTCTGCCACCGGTATCCAGGTAGACCCCAGAGAGATTTCAGCCATAGTGGATTAGAAGACTCCGCGGAATGTTCGTGAGGTGAGGAGCTTCCTTGGGTTAGCCGGTTACTATCGTCGATTTGTTAAGGGCTTCGCTTCGATCGCTACTCCATTGAACAAGCTACTGCGTAAGGACATCAAATTCGAGTGGACAGAAGCGTGCCAGCGCAGTTTTGATCAACTGAAGGAGTGCCTGACCCAGGCACCAGACTTGATTCAACCTACCCCTGGCATCGAGTATACCATCTATAGTGACGCATCTCATAGCGGCTTAAGTTTTGTGTACTGATGCAGTTGAGTAAGGTAGTGGCCTATGCATCGAGACATTGTAAGACTCACGAGGAGAATTACCCGACACATGATTTAGAGTTGGCAGCCGTGGTGTTCGCCTTGAAGATTTGGCGCCACTACATCTTTGGGGAGAGGATTCACATCTTCACCGACCACAAGAGTTTGAGGTACCTACTCACCCAGAAGGAGCTGAATCTTAGACAACGCCGATGGTTGGAGCTGATCAAGGATTACGATTTAGTCATTGAGTATCACCCGGGCAAGGCTAACATCGTGGCCGATGCTTTGAGCAGAAAATCGTTAGCCGAGCTACAGCTTCAATCTCCGTTAGAGCAGGAGATCCGTACAGCACAGAGAGGTGATGAGTTTTGTCAGAAGACTCGAGAGTTAGTTCCTACAGGAAAGAGGCCCGAGTTTGCAATTCGCAATGACGGAGTATTGTACTATCGTGAACGCCTAGTGGTGCCCCGCGGTGGAGTGAGGGATCGCTTGTTGCGCAAGGCTCACGGAACCGTTTACACTATGCACCCGGGTAGTAACAAGATGTATCAGGATTTGAAGAAATCCTATTGGTGGCCAGCTATGAAAAAGGAAATCTCCAAGTTCACTGCGCGCTGTTTGACTTGTCAGCAAGTCAAGGCTGAGCACCAGGTTCCGACAGGGTTGCTGCACCCTCCTACCATTCCGGAATGGAAGTGGGAAAGGATCACTATGTGGTGGTCCCAAAGTGGTGAGATACAAAGTCTAGAGGGGGGGTGAATAGACTTTGTTACAAGTTTAAAATCTTTTTCGTTTCTTTTGAAAACGAGAAAATGAGTGTTAATCTAGAGTCCTTGTGAACTTTAGATTGTGTGCGGAATTTGGTGGGTGGAGTGAACAGTAATTAATATGGATAGGTTAGTTTTCACAGTTAATATAATTGCAAGTAAGAATAAAGATAAGAGAGAGAGACACGCAAACTTTAACGAGGTTCGAAGGTGGGGTAATCCTTCTACGTCCTCAAAATCCACTATGTAGTTGGTTGTTGAATAATGAACCAACAGTTACACTTGTGTGAATTTCTGCACGGTATATCTTCACAAGATCAATGTTGCTACTGCACTCGTGCTGGCTTTGTTGTTCCTTCGAAGGTCAAGCTTCTTCAACAACTGCAAGATCCGAACAATAGGACTTGCAAGATCAACTTGTAAGAGAGTTGACCTACCCCCTTTTAATCAA